ATTTTTTTTGTGCAACTCTGCAAGATTACATCTGATGGAAAATGCTACGACTGCAAGCGACTCGTTGTCGTAGTTGAAAAGTGCATCTGTCGAATCCACTCTGGAAGTTTTGCTTGCTTTGTCTGTGAAAAAACAGCTATATTTGTTCATCATCTTTTTATTCTTCTGTAAATATTTGTTGAAAAACATCTCGTCTTCTACTGAATTTCATTCTGCAGATGTCTGTTGAACAATGGGTTAACGACGAGCTGCACAGTATCGTAGGAATTAGCGATCGCACGATATCGCAGTATGTTCTGGCGCTTGCGAAGAAAAGTAACAGCACAGATGACTTTATTGGGAAGCTGCGCGACAATGATGCACTCGAAATAAATGATGGTGTGCGAAAATTTGCGTCGCAGTTGATGAACAAGTTGCCTAAAGCAGGTCAGTTTGCCACGCTTTATGGTAATTCTTTTAAGGGTTTTTTAATGGAGTAGGTAATATTTTAGCTCCCAAGGTCACCCAGCGTAAAGGACCATCGGCGGCTGTGCTCCGAGAAATGGAACTGCAGAGACTCAGCAATTCGATGAAAGTCCTGACAGATGAGCCTACCCCATCCCATTCGAGGAAGTCTTCACATCACGTGCGCAAACGTCGAGAGAGTAGTAGCGATGATGAAGTAGGTTTCCCGAATGTTGCGCTTTTTGAGATTATAGAAATTTACCATTCAAACTTGATTACTTACCCTCCATGCAAAGATGATATACTTTTGTGTCCATCCACCCAAAGATGGTGACACAATTGACTGCGATCCACATAGGATCCGGATCCAGCGCGGATCGTGGGCGCTATGGCGCCATTGTAAATGGAGCGTGGTACCAGCCGCGCCTCCAAAGAAGTTTTGGGATGCGTTGCAGATCAGGGCTGTTATTCTGCTTTTTAGAAAGTAGGCGCTTTTGGAACCTTTTTTCACAGCGGTAAGCTGAACTTGTGGTAAATTCGGAACTTTTTACAAGTGATTTGAGCACACTTACGCCATTTCTTGAACTAGGGTAGGCTAATTTCATGGTTTTCGCTAGTGGCATCCCCGTCCCCCTTGCCGTTCTCTCTGTCCGCCGTTATTTTCTGTGTATTCAATCTGTAGTGCGTGTATTTATTCTTTGCCTCTTTTTAGAGCACAGTGGCCTCTAAACCAGCAGAAACGAAGTCTGGAAAACCTCAGAAACATGAATCATCTAGCGATTCGGATTTCGAAGCTGTTGAGGGAGAACTTGACCGTGATATCAAAGAAAGGGACGAGCTTGCTGCAAGAATAAGGAAACGTGAGAAAGAGAAGACCAGAAATGTGCTGGAACAAAAGAGAAAAATAGCAGATAATAAGGTTTGTTAGTCTTTTTTTTCACTGACTTTTTCAATTTTTTCTTTGATAGGACTTGGAGGATTTGACCATCGACAAGTTGCGAGAAGAGTCTAGAAGGCAATACCTAGCTAAAAGAAAGGATGATAAGCTTGATGAACTGCGTCATGTGGTTGCAGATGATGAAACTCTATTCGCACATGAAGAGTAAGCATTTATTCCTACAGTTTTTGGTAATTAAATTTTTTTATATTCAGTCTCACAGAAAAGGAACGAAAAGATATGGAGTATCGTAAGAAAGTGCTTGAGTATGCTGAACAACA